GCCTACCGGACCGGGTTCGGACATTTTCAGGCCAGGCAACCTCCATGCAGGCTGTTGAGGCCACCTGGCCCGAAAAAAAAATTGAACCAACCCCGCTACTTCAATGCCCTATGGCCCACCGGGGGGGAGCGGGCCCGGTGGACCGGTGTGAGGAAACCCGGGGAGGGGCGCCTACCTATCGCTGAAGCCAAGGGCAACGGCGCCTGTCACTCGCCGCGCCCGCTTCCGAGGTCCTCAGCGATCTGTAGGGTGTTTGGGACCTGTATAGTCTGTTAGTCTGTCACGCCTTCTGCCTACAGGTGACCTTTACGCCATCCTTAGATCATGGAAAGAAAAGCGAATTATCCTACTCAATTGAATATGCCCTTGTTTTTAAAGTGGACTCGGAATACTGGACCAGACTATTCAGACGTGTTCTATCACTTCGTTCAACTGTTTATCAATCAGAGCATAATAGTGGCCTGGGTCAACTCACGGATAATCTGAAAACCCGAGCCTAAGCGTTGCTTGGCAAAATGATATTCCAATCTTCCTCTCTGCTACCGTGAACCGGTCAGATAGATCAAGTTAGAATGCACCCCTCCATATTCATCAAGCCCAGATCTGTCAAACCCTCTCTCTTTGCAATTAACTGCGCGGATTTTGTTCGTAGTATGTCACTTCCCAATTGATACACACGGCTTTCCTTTCCTGGAAGCACAGATATTCTCACATTTCGATGTACTGGCTCGCTCATCGGCCCCTGTGGGCGCTTGACACAAAATTTATAAAAATTAAAATCAAAACCCTGGTTCTCACTATCTTCCCCTTTCTTGCTCTCTCTCTCAACTTTCACACACTCACGTGCGCTCACGACCTCTCTCATATGCACACACTCACACAGTGCCTTCTCTCTCTTCTTGCCCCTCCCTAACTGGTGGAGGGAGCGGTCAAGGCTTTCACGGCCCGCTGCTTGCAATCTGAATTTGTCGGACTTGTTCTTTCCTCGTGATTGTGTTGGGGAAAAAAAAGGAAGAAAACGATCTCAAAGAGAAATTTGAATATTGCAATAATATTAAAAGAGATAATACTATGTGATCGCAACCTCCGCCACTCAAATGGTTGGTGAATCGGACAATCAAGTCCCTGACCTGTGACGAGTCACTCGACACTTCGAAGTGGCCGGGCTGTCTCGCTGCTCTCTCTCATGGCTGGATTATGCCACCGTGTCTATTAGGAAACCACTTTCTCTGATCGGTTAGGCGCCGACTCTGCCCGTAACTTACCTAGTCTGCACTTCGCACGACGAGCCCCAGACAGACAGGGACGATCTTCCGCCCGCCAGCCAGAGAAATTGGATACACACAATCTGAAGCGAGCTCGACTCGGGAGATCACTCGCACAGGGCAAGGAGTGTTTGTCACCCACTATTTAAGTCGGCTTGTCACACGCATGCCGAAGCGATACGTCGTTCCTCACCTCTGGCTGAAATGACTTGCCTCGCCCTCGGTTCTGAGACCGGTTCCAGAGCCTGCGGTACTGCCACGGCCAGAAGAAATGACCGCTCGTCTCTCTGGCAACGTGACTGATCCCTTCATCAACCGGGCGGTTTGCTTCAGAGTCAGCGATGACGGCTGTTCACTTCGTCGCCCTATCCCATCAGCCAAGGGGCAGCGCGCTCCGCGGATGACGGCTGCCCACCTTACCGTCTGCGCTCATCAACCGCAGGGTATCTCGATCCGCAGCCAACATCAATAGACATTCACCTTAACATGCGACCTCATGAACTGCGCGCATTGCAGGGAGTGTCGTCAACTGCCCAAATTGCCGCCTGACCCCATTGAATTGAGGATCAGCGTGCCTCTCAGTCGGCTATAATGGCTGCTCAAATTACCGGATGATCCGATCCACTGAGGAATAGCCCAATTCGCGGCCAGCGATTAAGGCTGCTCAAAATACCGCAAGATCACATCAACTGCAGCGCGGCGCACTCCGCAGCCAGCGATTAGGGCTGCTCAAACGTCGCAAGATCACATTAACTGCAGCGCATGGCCCATGAAACGGGCGCTCACCCTCGAGCACGCATTGATCACGCCCCCGGACACACCCCTCCTCTTCGCTCAATCGCCGTAAGGCGCTCTCCATCTTCGTTCCTTGACCCTCTCAGATCTCACCACGAGTGCTGATGGCCGCGGGTACGCCTTCCGTGATGTAGTCTCCATACAAGCTCCTTCGACGCTCCCTCCGCTCGACGAGCGCCCCTGATCACACCCTCTCATGTGCCGCATGCACCTGGTTCTCCCCAGACTCGAACGGGCTGAGGTGCGCGGCGTACACCAGGCACACTGTCCCGTCCTTTCCCGACCGAATCCCCTCTCTGAACCGAGCGAACGGACACTGTGTACCCCCTGTACACTGAATCCTCCCTTCTTACACTAAACCGAGCTGGGCCCCAGCTACGCGTGCCAGCTCGCTGCCTTGCTCCCAGCTCGTTGACCCTTCCTGCATTCAACCGCGATGTGGGCTGGGTACACCTTGCGCGCCCGTCCCTCCTACAATTTGATTGTGGTCCTATATGGTCCGTGAACAGGGAACTCTAGCCAGCAGAAAGGGACCAGCCAGCATCCCTTCCCAGCTGAAGACTGGCCCCGTCCTTACCAGCGGTACCCAGTAGTCTCAGGGCCAGTTTTTAGGAGTCCGCCCATATCGATGGCGCCAGCAAGTCGGGCCAACTGCAGTCCCAGCTTGTGAAATCGCCGTACCTGTACGAAAGTAGTGACCCCCAGCCGCCCCCAAACCAGGCAGTGGGGTACCCATGTCAAAGCTGGTCGTGTCATACCAAAGCCAAACTGGTTATCAGCTTTGAAGTGATCGTTCCCAACAGCAGCAGCCTGAATCCCGAATACCGTGCAACGGAGCAATACCTTGCCAGTCCCGTTCCTGTGCCGAACCAGCTTACCGTACCTGTTCCGCTCCGGTAGCCATGCCAAACAAATATACAATGTCGTGCCGAGGATGTACCAAGCCAACACCAGACAAATCATTGTACCGTACCAACCAAGAATGCCGAATCTGTAGTCATGTCAACCTTGGGTCATCATACCAGTGCCAAGCCTGCGACCGAACCTGCAACCATACCAAAACAGAGGTGTAGTGGGCCAGCAACCCAATCCAGGGTTGACCCGGTGACAAGGTAGCGTACTGCAGCAGCCCGAACTGGACTGGGACACCGTATCACAAGAAATGGCGATGTCGGGCTGCCAAGTACCGTGCTTGTCGCGAACCTGAAACCCCTGTCCCGAACTGCGGTGACCTGAATCGTACCGATGCCGAACCAATACCGAATCTGAAACGTGTCGAGTGCCGCACAATGCCGCAGCCCCGTGATAGTGCCAAGCCATTACCATACCCATACCGAGGCTGAATTAACCAGTCGGTACCGCAGCAGCCCACACCGGACCAATGTCGAATCTGAAATAGTCAATCGGAGTCGTTGTAACCAGTACCATGCCGATGTCGGACCAATACCACGCCTGAAAATGTCGATGTCGAGCCAATACCGAGCCTGAAATATGTCGAATACCGTAGAACGCCGCAATCTTGGAATAAATACCGAACCTGGCCCGAATCAGGGTGAACCAATACAGTCGGACCGAGGTAGGACCAACCCCCGGTAATCACGCGGTCCCACTCTCTCGAGACACTCAGACCGCGTTATCATTTTTAATCGTTTTTCTTATTTCTTAATTCTTTTATCGAAAATAATAAAAAATAAAGGCAATTTCATCAAAAATGAATTCCGATGGAATTCAATTAAATAGCATAATTCCCATGTTTCCTTTCCCTTTTATAGTTTTGATTTTTTTTCTTATTTTTGATTCCATTACCGGAAATAACAAATAATGAGGGCGATTCCATTAAAATTAAATACCAAGGAAATTTAATAAAATAAAGAATATCCCGTTTTTCTCCTCCCTTCCACTGTTTCTAATTCTTTTTCCCATTTTTAATTTTAAAATTAGAGTTAATGATATCCGAGGCTTCATTCCCTCTTCGATGGCCTGACGCAGAAGAGCCGCGCCGAGGCCTACTCTCATATTACCGTCCCGCGACCAGTCGCTTTAGTTTTGGCCCCCGAACGACGAAAAAAATAGGCACTAGGTGCGACAGACGTACCTGTTCCTTTCGTCGATTTCAAGGGTCAGCGTCGATACCTGGCATGGAGAATATTAGGGGTCTCTCTCTGACCCCTAATTTTTCCCGAGGACTCCGATGGAAATCTCAGTCAACCCTTCTCTAGGTGCTTAATCCAAGGCCCAATCCGTCGAATTTCGCATGGCTGACTGACCTTCGGCCGCCCGACACCGGCCCGGTTCCGGTCGGGGGTGGGGGCCGCGGTCCTACCGGGTTTTCAGCCTTGCTTTAAGTTGCATTCTAGATGGCAACACGGATTGCATCTTACTTCGCTTCCTTTCTTTTCTGAGATTTTTTTTTTTGCCTTCCTTTTGCAAGTTTTCCTGTTTTAACTTGTTATGATGCACTATGGTACTATCAATCACACCAACTGGCTTTCTGCATTCATGCCCATGTACTCTGGTATTATGTTTTAAATACCGCAGACACCACAAAAACCTAGACTGCACAGACTGTTTGTTTCACAGAGGGTGGCACCTAACAACAACAACAACCCCCTAACCCCGAAACCCTCTTATACTATACTTCACCCGTAATGGAGGGCAGGAACACAGCATCACCAGTGGGTCCCTCTGCAAGGATCAAAACCCGAAACTTCAGAAAGTGAATAAAAAATAAACTGAACTCTCATCCAGCAGCAAAGGAATGGAGGGGATACATCACTCCCTCAAGTCCTCAACAGGACATTTCATGACATAACCACCGAATTCAGATCGTTACGGGTAGTACCTGTCCTTCAAAAACGAATGGAATCAAATTGGAACAGGGCACACGAAGGTGGCTCACTTAGAAAAGAGTCATAGATTGCCGTTTTCTTTAGCACGAACCTTCCAAGGCATGGTAGCGAGCTAACTCCTGCGCGCACGAAGAAATGCTTTCCGTCACAGAGTTCATCTGCAAAATGACGAGACGAAAAAAAGAAAAAAAAGAGTGTGGAAATGGAAGTACATAAGCCCAACAAGTAAAAAAAAGGTACAAAGAACTTCACATAGCTTGCTCTCAGGGGGGAGGCCGGATTGGTGCTACACTCAAGTACTGAGAAACCATGAGTGCGACCATGCTTTCTCAACAGCCAAAGAACAGGTACCTGCAGGGCCTGGCATTATGGAGAACCTCTCTCTCTCTCTCTCTCTCTCTCTCTCTCTCTCTCTCTCTCTCTCTCTCTCTCCACATGTGAGTGTGTGTCTGTGAGAGAGAGAGAGAGTAAGTGTGTTTGTGTGAGAGGGAAGCAGTTCTACCTCCATGTTTCTTCTGGTAAGTCGTTCCTCCATCATCGCCAGTCGAGCACTGGTCCTAGCTGCCGTGACCCCCCTGGCCCTCCTTCCCTGAACCATTGTCGCATTCTGCATGGCTAGAGCATCCCTATGTAGCTGCATCCTCTTCAACCTTTGCCTCAGAGCCTCTGCCTCTGATATGTATTCTGTCGTCGCATCCCTGAAAACAGGAGAGACCACCAACAGGCCCAGCTCAGTTGGTACGCCCATGCACTGTTGAAATCCAGACCTGAGTTCAAATCCAGATTTGAGATACGACTAAATGAATGAAATTCTTGAATTACCTGCGGTCGGTCAGTTCCACGATGATATCTCAATACCGACCCCTTGGAAAAAAAAGAAAAAAGAAAAAAAAACACAGAGACCTGTACATGCTTGCGCATGAACTTCTCAACATTCAATTTGAAAAATCATCCTTGCAGCGCATCACGTGCGCGTCGTGCCGGCACGTGCGGCGCACAGCGCACTTGCATGATGCAGCGCATGGCGAAAATTAGGGGGTGCGAAAAAAAAAAGGGGAGGGGCAGGGAGTGGTAGCACACCCTGCCCCTCCCCTCGAGAAGAATTTTTTGGGGGGGCATCTTGCACTATCTGACCGTAGTTTTAGTCACGTCTGACAAAAGCAGAAGAGTCCAAGTGGACAAAAAAAAAAAAAAAGAGTCGAAGTGTTAGGGCCTCGCTCCACTACTCTCCAATTGTGGAAAAGGAGACCAAATACTCCTCTAGAACATGGAAAGATACACCGCCATCTTTTCTGTCTTTTGTGCATTTGGAGAGTAGTGGGGTGAGGCCCTTAGTCTGCCATAAGTACGTGTCATCATTGTGTAGTGGCATTGCAACGGGTATTTCGGACCGTCCCGTTGTCTTTTCTCTTTTTTCGTTGATGTAGGGTGTACAGGCAGTGGTCCTGCAATTGTGTTTTTCCATTTTTGCGTTTCGCTCAAACTGACGAACGTCTCCATACATTCTAGGGCAGCAAAATGAGAATGGGTCTTCCCCTAGGACACGGAAAGATTCACCGCCATGACTTTTGTCTTCTGTGCATGTGGTAATGGTTGAGCGGGGCCCATAATGAGAGCCCCGACATTTCCGACAATACTACTGACAGAGGGCCTCCCTCCACTACTCACCACATCCACAAAAGACAACAAAATATGGTGATGTATCTTTCCATGTTCTATGGGAAGATTCATTCCCATGTTGCACATCCGGTGAGTCAGGTGAGTCAGGATTCCCGAATGGCTAGTGGCCACTACCCATCGTTGTTTTTTTTTTTTTTTTTTTTTTTTTTTGCACATCAGCAATCCACGCAGTGCACAACGTGCAGCTGCACCGCATGGTGCACCGCACAGGTGCGCGCCTTAAGTATGGAAAAAATTGATAAAGGAGATTTCCTTGCACGTTGCACACTCTCAACTTGAATGGCACTGAGCATGAAAGGACAGCACACACTGTGGGCAGAGTCCCACCTCCCCAGATTTTATGTTCCTGGCCGTTGATCCTCTACCCGTCTTCCCCCGAACATAACGCACCCGAGAGTGAATGTATACAAGCTATCTTTCCGATCTGCTACAGCAGTCATAATGGTCGTGCGCTGTGTTCAAGGGAGGACGGCAGTAATCCACGACGCATCATAATGAAGATACAGGCACATGGGGCCTTGGCCAGAGAAACCTGCCACCCAAGGGTATACCCCAGACCTTCTTCGGTATCACAGTCATCTATGCGAGTAATGAGCCCTCGAGGGGCCCTTACCAGACATTCAAATGTTCTGGGCTGCGGCCCCTAGCAAGCCCTTGCCTGCCCTAAGTGAAGGCTGGCCTGAATATTCACGTGAGGCCTGTTTTCGACATTTTTCCATATGTGGGTACTCAGACAGTTGCAGCACGCGAGTTGGTTACAGAGCAACTTGAGCCTCCAGGCTCTTTCCAGAAGCAAAGGACTGTGCTGTACAGTTGAGCCCAGGGCTCAGGCGGTTGCGCCCTGGGCACACGCTGTGTGAGGCCGACACATCACGGACTGGTTACGGGCCAATGAGAAAGCAGCATTGTACTCACACATGTGCCGCAAGCCAATGAGAATGCTGCAAACACTGGGAGGCTGGGTGGCTGCCTGGACATGCCTAACTGCACGAGGCCCAGGCCAGTATCTGAAACTGGGTCTGGGCGCAGACACTTGGAGCCAGAGGGAAGCTACTGCCCCCCCCCCAACACGCCTGGACAGGCCAGCCAGCAGCGGGCACTTTCCATATAGGAAAGTGTGTGCCCCATGCGGGGGCATTGTGGCCTGAGCAGGTATTGCGGACACGCTGCTGCTTTGCCATGCGACGCTGCGCTATGCAGGCAGGCTGGGGCGCAAGCGGGCGCTAAGAAGCGAGAGGGCACTGCGATGGCAGTGGGCGCACAACAGCCACTACCGGGCCGAGCGTGTGGGTGCTGGTGATGGTGATGGTGGTCTTCGGGTAGGAGGCACATGCACAAGGGATCAAGGTGTGACGAGGGGAGGAGAGAGAGCGTACCTGGTATATGCTAGTGGTCGGCATTGGTGCTGATGTCACGTACATGGGTCTTCAATTTCGATGTGATCCAGTCGCAAGAACGTAGATAGAGTAGATAGGCTGAGTAGAGTAGGCTGGGTGCTGGGTGCCAGACAGTAGGGGCGACCTTGAATACAGTGTTGGTGTGACCAGAGAGCGTCTGCATGGACACTTAAGTTGCTCTTATTTGGATGGAATCTTGGTGCATTGTCCTCTCCGCTTGGTACATAACTATCTGGACTAAGTGATTTTGCCACTTGGTTTTCTGTATATCGATCTCGCTTATATTCCTTGCAATTTGGTATCGGAGCTGGTTCGATATCGCCATTACCGGCGCTGGCGAATTTGTTACTTGGCGCGCTGATGATGCTTCTACTCAGTAAGGATACATCAATGCTGGCTGTTTGGGTGACTCCCGGGTAAGGGGGAGTGTCGCCAGAAGGCTGTGGCAACAGCGTGGGAGCTGTAGCGACAGAGCATGTATGTGGGATGATGAGAGCATGCTGACATGGCGTTTTGGCTGAGGTGGCACTCCACTGCAATGCGTGTGGTACCAAGGCTATGACCGGTCATCAAAATGCACGTCGGCTCAATTGGTGAGAAATCTGTGGTTGGGGGCAACTATCTTCAGGTACATTGTTCCCTTACCTTATCTTCCCATCTCAATCACTTCTTATCGTGAGGAAGTCAGTCCAATTTAAGTGTCCTCTTCTAATTCAGGAGTCGTGAGCGCTCTACCTTGACAATCAACATTGTTCCTGGTGGTGCATCTGCCAGGAGAGGGTGGTGCCTCTGAAGGGTCCTGGTCGAAGCACGGGTCATGGCCACCATGCCAACCCATGGGAGTAGAGCACGCATGCTTTGCTGCCTTGTCCTTTAAGCTCTTGCTGCGCTGTAGAGGAAATGTGGACTGACCCGTCCCATGTGAGACGCCTACCAGAACCTCTGGCTGTGATCGCCGTCCTGTCTGCGACGTTAAATAATTCCTGAGGACTTCAGGAGCTGTCCTTAAATTGCCTCTTGATCAGCCAAATCAATCAGATGAAAGGCTCGTTGCACGCGAGGACAAATAACGGGCAGAACTGGTCGTAATTGGTTTCCTGGGCACACGGGTGGGCCGCTGTGCACACGACAGACACTGCTGCTCGATGATGCAAGTCAGGATCGTTGGATACATGTAAAGGGAAGGTTTCAATTGGTGTTCGTACACGAACATAATTCATTCCCATTTCTGCATACATCTGTGCAAATGATTTATTTTTATTTTGATTAGTTGAGGTGACAGACTGCTAACACCTTACAGACAGTATTAGACTAGAACTGTAGTAGTCTACCATAGCCAGTTCTGATTCGTTGCTGCTGTACGAGAACTAATAAAAGTAGGGATAGATCATTTGCTCAGTCTGTGTAAACATTGTTGTCACCGCTTGATCGGTAGCCTAGGTCACTTGCCGAATATTTATTTATTTTTAATTGTTTATGAACTCGGTCAGACACATGCTGTGGTAGGCTCCAGTGAGGGCTCTAGGCCAGAAAGTGATCTGCTGGATCAGGTGGTGGCGAGGACAGATCTGTAGGGAGAAGGGTGACATGTCAGGAGTCACTTAGGATCCCCATCGTGCACCACGCTTTACCATCTGGGGGCGAAACAGCCATAAGACGTCAGGCGGAGGCTGAACGTTTGCAGCGGGCTAGGGAAGCAGCAGCAGCAGCAGCAGCGGAGAAGGCACAGGCAGCAGGAGGAACTACTGCCGGAGCAGTGGCAACATCTGCTGCTCTCTCTCAGGCTCAGCAGACAGTAGGCATGTCGTCGAGCTCAAAGGCTACGTCCAGTGGGATGAGAACAGGCACTTCTTCAATCCAGATGGCAGGCTCACAGTACAGCACGCCACCTCCTCGCACACGAGAGGCCATAGAACTCCAACAGGTGGAGTTGAGCCGCTTACGGTTAGAGAAGGAATTTAGGGAAGCTACCGAAAGGGAAACAGAGATTAGAAATAGGAGGGTTAGATCACTCGACCCTTGACAACACTAATAAGATCCTCAAGGCGGGTCTGCTGAGCATGTATGCTTACATGGACAGCAACCTGGATGACATCCAGGATACCCTTGACCAGATACTGAATGCCATGCACGCAAGAGGAGGACCACATCCCTCCATACATGGTGGGCCCAGTATCCGGCCGCAAGCAGCATTTCCATCGCCTTCTCCGGCAATGACACGCCGATTTGCATATCAGATTGGTATCCCACCAAGTGGTACGTCAGCAGCAGCAGCACAGACTTCTGCATCTTCATCCTCAGGTCCATCTGCTGCAGCTACGGGGCCGCAGCCGGTCCCACCAATGGGACCACAGCAGCCTTGGTACCCCAAAACCCCATTGAAACCAGCTCAGACCCTCGGTTGAGGACGGTTCCAGTATGGGTAAGGGCGAGGAGGACGTTGCTAGAAGAAGAGGTGATCACTCCCACCTCATATCTTGAGGGATCGGCATCAAGGCGGCTACATCTAATAGTGGCATCTGAGGGATTCGTCCGGCGGATGAATGATTGGGCAAGAACCCACAAGCTGGAGAGCTTCATGGCATTGGTTGAAATGCGATGGCACAACCCACAGCAGGCCCAGCAGGCCACTGATGTGTTGTCCCGGCTTGATACTAGAAGGTACAAGTCTGCACGTGAGCTCACCACTGCAGTGGAGAAACTTGTAGTCGTCTCTGGTGTCCGCCATGATCCATAGGTCTA